ATGCCCCGGCCTTTCCCAGAGCACCTCTCACGGGGCTGCCGGCAAGGCCAGGTGGTGGTTGAGAAAAGACAGAGAGTGAGAGCAGAGCTCTTTCTTCATTCCTGTTTCTTCTGCTATGCTGTACGGGAGAAGAGAGGTGAACAGAAAAAGGTGCTGAAGGAGGAGAGTGTTTCCGTGGTGGGGTCTTCGTGGCGGAGGCAGCCCCGAGCAGGAGAGTGCTGCTGTGCCTGGGGCAGCAGGCTGATTACTGATCACACCTGGTGTGGTGTTTGGCCATTGCACACTTCATTAGCACTTGAGAAAGTTTAACATTAATTTGTTACTTATCCTCACATGTCATGTCATGGTTTTAATTTAATTAAGAGGCAAGTTTGTCTTTAGAATGTCTGCAGAAAGCCTTTTCTACCCATATCCTCTGGGCAGATCTTGGACATACATGTCATTTTTTGTTTCTACAGCTTCTTTTGTTAATTTTTTTATTTTAGCCTTTATTTTATTTTACGCTTTGACCTTTAAAAATGTATTTAATTTTATTTTATTTTTCAGACACCTCTTATTGAACCTCACATCCCACATCGTCCTACTAAAACCATTGCACAGGTAATAGGACATAGGTGTACTGTAGACCCAGGCCTCTAGACAAATGGAAATAGCTCCTGTTTCCAACAGTGTGATGCGTATCAGCTGAAGTGATGCATTCTGTTAGATGTGATAAGTATGTGAGACTTAAAAATCCCAAATATATAATACATTGCTCTGCAAAAGTGAGCATCTGTGCAAGGACTTGTAATTTAGGGAAAAGAGAACTTTTGTTTTGTTTTCAGAAGGCAGTACAGAGATTGTGGAAAGTTTAAAATCTGTATGTCTTGGTCCTTTTTTTTTTCTCCATAATCACCAAGGTTCCTTCAGAAAAGATCCTCAGAGCTGGAAAGATTTTGCGGAATACGATTCTGTCCCGAGCCCCTCACATGATAAGAGATCGTAAATACCATCTGAAGACTTACAGGTGTGTGAGCTGGTTGTATAGAGGTCTCTGAATTTTTATGCCTGCCATCCTCTGATTTGTGATTTATGCTTTACCATACTTGCAGGTCTCAAAAGGTCTGAAATTACTCTGTGATGCTATTTGAGTCTGGATGTTATGCGGTCTTTAATGGGCCCGATAAATCTTTTCTGAAGTAATTTGACTGGAAATTGAGTCCAGGATTGTGAACAGAGCATTCATATACAAAAACTCTTCCAAAGTTAATAGCATAGTTAGCTGGAATATTCTACGCAATATCAAGTTAAAATGTAGATTCTGTTCTCTTCATAGATCAGTAAGAGATAGTAGGAAAGTTCATTAACACATTATGTAGCTGTACTGATTGCTACAGTGGTGTTGCTCTGTGTGGAGTTCTGAAAATTCACCTGGTGAGAAATATTCCTTATGTAGATTTTCTGCTCTATTTAAATTATTTTTTGAACTGTATTGCCAAGCTTTCTTATCTTCCTGCTGGTGGCAGCACTGTCTTGCTGAAGTGGGAATAACAATGGCAGTTGTAGAATACACTGACTTCAAGGACTCTGCTGTTGGCTTCAGAAACAATCAATTTGTTTTAGTGTCTAATGTTTAAATCATACGCCTAATGCATTATTCAGAATATATTTAAATATAAATTGGTTTAAAATTTCTGGGTATGTCTTTTTCTAAATAGTAGATCAATATGTTGCTGAACTGCTTTTGGGATAAGTGCACTGACTTTCTATATTTCAGTCAGAAATGTATTTAATATAATGCAAAATACCTGGAGCTTGTGAGTTGGTCTGAGAATATACCATGATATGACATTGCTCATTGTTCTAGAAGAACAAAAGAGCATGTATGATAAATCAAAACTAATGCTGGTTGAAACAAATGCACCATTTTATCTTATACATAACTGGGAAAAACTCTTCTCTCCTTGGTTTTTTTAACTATGAAATGCCAAAATTTAGATTGGGTCCAGGTGAGGGAAAGTTTTGTCATCAAATAGGAATTTTAATTGGAAAAGCGCTATTTAAGCTAAATTTCAGCAATTTCTATATTATCCTTAGTCTCTGAAAGTGATGCATGAAGTATAGAGCCACGAGAGCCTGCCTAGAAGGCCTAGCCAGCTTCCTCTCCATTCTGTGTGTGATCAGTTCTAGATTTGTAGCTTTTTGATCACATCGCTTATTTGCTTCTGTCCTGCTGAGCTAAGGAGTGTTATGACAAAGAATTCTATTTGTCACAATGTGGCTTTTTTGCCTTTTTCCCCCTCTTTGGGTGTTCTCAGATACTTGAGGCCTGCTGTTGTCTGCCTCTGGGCCAGTCAGGAGCTGTGAGGTGACCAGCACCCAGCCTGAGAGCGCCTCACTGTAGGACCTACAAACTGACGTCCCCAAATACAGCGTGGCCAGAGCTTGGTTACAGATGGAGGAACATCTTCATAACACTCATTCTTTCTGTGGAGCCTCTTCTCATTAGCAAAGCTTTTACAGTGTCAGACAACTGTTATCATGCAGGATTCCAAAAAGTGTGACACTTTTGCTATCCCATGGTATACAGAGATTTCCTTTGAAGCCTGGGCTGGAGGTTGTTGCACCAGCGCAACAGATTTCGTACCAAGTAGCACAGGCTTGCTCTGATCTGCTGAACTTTGCCTTTCCCAAAATACTTGTTCTGCTGAGGTGATCCTCTCAAAACCAAACACCCTCACTGGTACTTCAAGCATGTACACATAGATGATGACATCATGTTTTCTGTAGGGAGATTTGACTAAGGTTATACAGCGTTTAAGATATCACTGTTTTTGGCAGACGCTGTGTGTGATCTCTCTCTTGGCTAGCTCCCTTTTCACTTTCTATTACTTGTCCTTTAGGCAATGCTGTGTGGGGACAGAACTAGTTGACTGGATGATGCAGCAAAGTCCTTGCGTCCATTCACGAACCCAGGCTGTTGGCATGTGGCAAGTATTGCTGGAAGAAGGTGTTCTTAACCATGGTAAGATAAAAAAATCAGCATCTTGACTAAAACATGGGAAGTGTGTGGCCTCAGTCCCTCTGTAGATGTTTTTCATGAAAAACAAAGGAATCATGCTCATAAGAAACTGCACAGAGCAACTTGTACATTCATGAGCACATGTGCAACACTCAGGCAGTATTACCTGAATCTTGCTACCAATATAAATTTTTAACTTCTGAGAATATCGAAAATTAAATGAACAATTTATAGTGCTAACTCTAATTATATTTAGGACTATACTGGTTGATGCTTACATTGCAAGAGCTGGATAACACTCAGGCCAAAACCAAGAGATTATCAAACACAAACTGATCTTTCTCAAAGATCTGCAGCATTTAGAGGTGAATGTGAGCAATTGTGTTTGTGTTTGGAATGATTTTCAGTGGATTTGGGAATGGTTCCCAAATTCAGCACTCCAAATATCCAAGTGCAGAGATCTGGGATTTTATGTTAGTTTTCTGAATCTATTTCACACTGACTTTCACTTTCCATTTGGCAGGATTTACCTGGTAATAGGATATTATAGCCCTCAAAGGGTAGCTTTCTAAACCAATATTAGTATTTGAAACTTTGCTTGTTCAGTTTTATTAAGTTCAGAAGAGCAACTCTATTACAGCACACTTCCATTTATCCTCTGTTGTACTTCCCATACCTCAGGGGGAAATTTCCACACGGAGAAGACATATTATTTCCACTGCTTCCTTACCCTAAGGGCTCTAGCTTTAATTCCTGCCAAATATTCCCTTGAACTCCCAGGGGCAAGCTGTTGCAAGCTCCATCACAGTATCCAACTCAACACATCACTCTGGCTTGCTTAGAACATCAAGGGTTTGTCCTTCACCATATCATAGCCTCTCTTTAGACTACCTTCTCGTGGTAGTCTTTGAATTCCATTTATTTCTTCCACCAGAACACAGATCAGTGAACTTGCCCCTGGGATTATATCTTGATGATGTACAATTTCTCATATATCAGAAAAAATTTAGATGCTTTTAGCCCTGTCTGAAACAAGTTGGACAAGATCTTAATGCTAGAGAATACTTCTTAGAAATTCATAATGTTAACTGTTTTCCCAGTGTGAATTGTTTTCTTAAATTAAGTGTTTTGAAACAAAACCAGATCTACTAAGAGAAAAAGCACACACATGCGGGCACACACACACTTAGGTCTACACACCCATAACATAAATATATATAGAAGCCTTTTGGAAAGTGTTTGTAGTACACAATTTAAAAATGGACCCTTTAAGTTACATAATTGGGACACATGTGAGCAAATAAAGATGTTTCATACTCTTGCAGTTTCTCTGTAGCTTTCTTTCCCTTCTTAACCAATATATCTGTGACATATACAATGCTACGCAGGTTTCTAAAAGGTTAACTTTCATCAGGAGAGCTTGGTGTTTTGTATGTTCTGTTGTTTTCAGTGGACCAGGAGCACCACTTTCAAGACAAATACTTGTTTTATCGATTTTTGGATGATGAGCGTGAAGATGCCCCTTTGCCAACTGAGGAAGAGAAAAAGGAATGTGATGAGGAGCTACAGGACACTATGCTTCTTCTGTCTCAGATTGGGCCAGATGCTCATATGAGGATGATTCTCAGAAAACCGTAAGCAGATCAATGGGTTAATATTATACATGGGCCTTCCTTGTGACACAGAAATAAGAGAAAAGTACATTTATTATCGGGTATCCTTTGGCCAGTTATTTCACTTCAATGCCAGTCTGTTCAACCTCTAAAGTTTTTAAGTGCGTATTAAGTCATTTCCAGTCCTTATTAGTGCCTCTAAGTTGAATTGTCAGGTGAGAATAGCCATCAAAGGCCATGAATGCCACCATACTCACCTTGAGGAAAATGCTGCATTATGAGTTTTTATTTCATTTCTGAGTATCCCCAAAAGTAAGTTGTAGGTAATAGAAAAAGCCTGCTCTGTTAACACTTTCTGTGTAGACGTGCCATTCAATTAACTATGCTGCTTTCTGTTACCGCGAGTGAGTAGAGTGGTAGGATGGCAGCACAGCAGGTACCTTTCAATTACAGTTGTCAGTGGCAGCCATTAATTAGATTCAACCTTGGTAGAACTTTATTGAATTAATATAGGCTGGACTTGGCCTGTTGTAGTTTGCTAGCAAGGTATGAAATCTGGCTCTGTGGGTTTATATGCCCATTCTTATTGTTATAAAATCAATACATTAAGAAAAAGAAAAGCTTTCTGTACTTAGGCCACAGAGGATGTCTGCCTAACCTTTTCATAGCTATCAGATCATGTGCTCTCACTCATCAGCTGGCTAACTGTCTTTTCATCAACACATTCTGGTCACACTGGAAACTGTGCTAAAGGCCCTTTTTACAGTTAGCTTTATAGTAACTTCAAAGAAACCAGCATAAACTCTGACACTCCGTTGAAAACAACCTCTTCGTTATGCAGGTAGTGTTTAGGGGCCGTTGAAGACATATTTTACTGCTAATTAAGCATACTGAGAATAATGAATTACTTAAGGTCATCTTTATTGGAGATTTACTTGTAAGGGTCAGTTCAAGAAAGGTACATTCACAGGGCTGGACTCCGCTGCCTGAGGCCGTGCAATGTTTGTCTTTGCTGTGGGATAGGAGGGCATTTTTTGTACTAAAAATGTTTTGAATCCACTTAACATAAGTGCTTGCTCCTGTTCCCTTTCCCTGCTCTATTCTTGTCCCTGTGTTGTCTGTTTAGGTCATAAGCTCCTTTAGAGGACACTTTTCCAAAAACTTGCTAAAAGCATTCAATTTCAGAAAGTGCTATCAAATACTTGTGCTTATAAAAATAGGTGGCACTGCCTCACAGCAAGAGTTTTGAAAGTATTAGAGGTCTAGTCAAACACAACCAAAGGAGCATTCACTCCCTGTCATGCAGAATACATGGACAACTCAGACTGGGAGCATGGTGCTTCCATAAACCCTTATGGTGTGAGGGAACTGAGGTGTTCTCTCCTCACAGAGATGTCCAGTTCATTCTCCACTGAGGAGTGAAAGAGGACTCCTTGCACTCATGAGCGGATGCCAGTTGTTAGGAGACTGGCAAGCAGTGCTACGTGTGCTGTGCCCCTGCCCTTGCCTCAGGCTGCCTGAGCAGTTGGCTCTTGGAGAATTGCCCCCTTGGGTTGCCGTGGGTTTTGGCTGCCTGCTACATTTGATTTCCATCCTGACTTTCAGAGCAGCCGGGGTAAGTTTACCCTGGTAGAACCGAAGTTGATTACCATCCACACTCCTTGCAGAGAGCTGAAAGGCTGGAATGATGCTGTGGAGAGGTACTGCTCTCTGCTCGGTGTCGTCACTTGCACAGCATCATCTGAAAGACTATTCACAGGAGATTTTTCATGCAATATAGAGAAGGGGAAAGAGGTTTTCTCAAGACTGACAGCCATCTGGCATCTTTCCATCCTGTAAGTGCTTATTTTTGTAGCCCTTTGCTCACAGAATGAAGCTTGTACTGCCAGGCACTATATTAACTGCTGTTCTAGTATTCAGTTTACATATGTTATGATTTTGTTAGTTGAAAAGCCATCCTGGGCTGAGCTGTAGCCAAGCTATTAAGATCTCCACGAATCCTCATAGTCCTGCTAGTTTTGACTAGACACTGTTAGAGTTGCCAGAAGTTCAAGGAATTGTCAGGGCTTCAGGGACAATCGTTCTAGCTGACCTGACCAGGACCCACAGTTTTCAAGCCAACACAGCTGCATTTTGTAATAGTCACCATTCCGGAGAGGTTGCAGAACTTCGATAATTACCCTGAAAGAAACAAGACAATATTCTTTGATGAGAAGATTACTTTGAAAATTTGATTGTATAATGAAGCTGTTGCTTTGAAAGGTACTTTTCTATTGTTCAAAATCTGAAAATCTCTAGCAAAAACTGTCACTTGTTTTGACAGCCGACTTAAAAAATTCTCTGTTTATTACATTAACTGCAGCATTTTAACTGTCAAACTGTGAAAGAGGGTTCTATAGTTTAAAAAACAGAATAGAGCTCAGGGAAATTTTTGGCAGGCTCTTGTTGCTATTGGGTGGGTTTTTTTTCCTTTGGAAACACATACACTGAATATGAAAATAGCTTTTTGTGAAGTAGCAAACACAGCTCTCTGCTCCTTATAATGCCCAGAGTGCAGGTGCAGACCTTGAGCAAGTCCCTGGAAAAAAAATATATAAAATTAACACAGCTCTTCCTTATAAGCATTTCAATCCTTCTGTAGGAAAATACATCCTGAAAACATTTTTATAGTTATTTTTGTTTGATTTGAATGGTGTTCAGATACAGCTAACTTGATGTTAAACCCTAATTAAGTAGGATGCTATAATACAAATCTAAACACAGTAATAACAGGAATCTTTAAAGGGAGAATGATATTCATCAGACAACAGTATTTAACTCAGATGGTGTTATGGGTTATATTCTTTTTTAATACTCTAGGCAACAGTCAGTATGACTGAAACAATAAATCTGTGTTGTTAGTCTTTGTCGCTTCACTCAGCAGATTTTCTTCTCAGTACGAAGAGTGTTTGATTCCCATGTGGTCAGTAATCAAATTTTAGTGCCACTTGCAGAAGTAAGCTCGACAGGTTGTGTTGAGGAGAGGAAGCTTCTTGAAGATTTTGTAAAAATTAAGCAAGCTATATTTATTCTCTTGTTCTTAAAATTTTTACTTAGAAATTCCACCCAGCTGTTAGCAGTAAGAATCATATTGAATTTCTCCATAAATCATAGAATCATAGACTAGTGACCTTTAAAAGTCCCTTCCATCTAGTCCAACACCCCAAAAGACTGAGCAACTGTGAATTAAGTTAACCATGAACTAAGTTCTGTAGCCTTTGATGGAGTTTCCTGCCAACAACATTTAATAAATAAAGTGTTTCCTGGGACAAGAAATGCAAATTATCTTTGCACATATCAGTTCACTTGTGATATTTATGAATATTAGACGTGGTAAATGGTATTAATAGAGTTAATCGAGGAGCACTGATTTAAGTATAAAGATTACGTAATTAGCTTTAACGCCACGGTAAGTGAACATATGTTCACTTTCAGACTCAGGCACAGGTAGTAGGTAAAACATCTCCTACATATTTTTTTCGATACTTGAAGTCAACATTTGTACTCTGGAAATACATGCTTATTTGATGTATAATCACAATGTTTGGAGTCTCTGATCTTTTCCCTTGTTCTTATTATCTGAGAATTTTCTGTTTAACTGTGTAATAATCAATGATGTTGCTTGTACCTACATTGTCTATCAGTGCAAAGTACTGTGTTATTGGCAAAGTCCTAGTCACAGAGAAGCTCAGTGTCTCTGACCTTGATAAAATCTCCAAACACTAAATAGTTTTTATTGATCACTTAATATTACCCGAGTTCTCCTGTGCATTAATGTGTAGCCTTGTTCTCTACCTATTCCATTTATTATCCTGTCTATTACCAGCTATTGCTGTTAGAACGTGTCCCCTGCAGAAACTAGGTCTTTACACAGCAGGATCCAACAAATCAACATCGGTGGGTCACCACACAGGTTTTATAGCAGTGGTGATGCCTAATATCTCTCCATGTGACATCTGCAGAGCAGGAGTAAAGACTGGGTACATCCACTATAGATTGTCAGTCTTCCCAATGTGCGAATGCAGGAGGCAAATGGACATACTGAAAAAGAAGAGTGTACCCTTTTGTCTTGGTAGAGCGTGGATGTAGTAAGACAACATCCTCTTATATTTTAATGCCACATAGAAATTTGTTAATTTGTTACACCGTGTTTTCCATTTTCCAAGACATGCCGGTTTTGCAAGCATGTAATAAAACTGAGGTCATTACTCCCTATGGGAAGTATTATGTTTTGAAAACCTTACCTTATGTTTCTTAAATCTCCAGTCAAAAGTAGCTAGTACTGGCTTAGCTGTATTCTGTACTTAATCAAGCTGCTGCTGCCCCACATCAATCACCAGGAATGGCAGCTTTATAATTTCAAGCTAGATTTAGAAAAAGAGTATTTTGAGTCACTAGAGGGCAGAGCAGCACCAAACGAGTTTCTGTTTCTCCCTCAACAGTTTGTTCCATTCTGCCTGAGAAAAGAATAATTTCATCCAAATGTTTTTTGTCTAAATTGGTCTTTAGTCTGGGTAATAATAAGAACATGTCGTTGATAAAGTTAAGAACAGATGGAAAAAATAGCTTGCTTAACAGTGAATATGTCAGTTGTCCTTTTGTTTTCTGTGAGTTCTTCAGTACTTCTTTCCTCCAAAAGAAGTCCCCATTAAGCTTCTTTTGCAAAACGATGCAATATAACTCCAGTGATGCGATTGCCAGGTGCTCCCTCTATATTTCTTTCTATGACTGATCCTCTAGATGCTAGAATCTCCTGTAATATTGACATTTTAGGAGGAAGACTTCTATCAGAAAAGTTCATTGTCTCACATTTGTTTTAGGGCTGTCCAAAAAGTCACCTGTGCTGTTAATTCATTTGTCGCCAGACATTGCAGGCAAGGTGTTGGAACTTTACGCCGGCCTGTTCTTAATGTGAGGACGTAAACCTTCTCCTTTGAATCTCCTGCCCTTGGGCTGGTCCTCCTGTATCCCATTTCCTCACATCTTAAATTTAACCTCTCCCTTGTTATGACTAGGTTGCTCTTTTCTTCTGTTCTTGGCCCTTTTATTTAATTACTTATATTCTCCTTTTTACAAATCTAAAACATATTATTTGAAAGGACTTAGTCTTATAAAAGTAACTTGGGATAATGCTTTAAAGGATTTCTTTTTCTGTGTGTGTGTATGTAACTCCAGTGTGCTGTCTGAAATGATATCACAGGAGAATTTATCCTTTTAGAAAATAAAGTTGTATTAGTGTGTAGACTACAGAAATGCATTTATTTCAGTCACAGTGGCAGCCTTTTTCCTTCATCAATGCATGCATTAACGGCAGCTTCTGGTATTTTTCAGTGAAAGAAGTTGGAACTACTGAGTGGTTCTTATTCGCCTTTGTGGCAAAACACCAGCACTGAGCATTAACTCTAAAGCAGTCATTTCCTGTCCTCCAAGGTGCACTGCTGCCTCTTGCAACTGGTTCGGCAGAAATTCACGCTCTCCTTTACAAACCGCTGCTGTCTGTTTGCTACAACTAATTAGGGCCACGTGTGAAAAATAATGCAGGTCCCACACTCAGGAGTCCTTTTGAAAGGAAGAGATCTTTATGTACCATTTCTGATTTATCTGACCGTTTTACATATAGAACACTTGATTTCATCAGGAAAGCTGCCTAATCAGCATCTCTTTAAGTTGGTTGCCATGGTTGCTGCTCAGTGTCATTTAGGTGGTTTCATAGCACTTCCATCCTTTGTGTGTTTCAGTCCTGCAGCCAGAACTGTCATTCAGTCCCTGTTTAGTGAGCATGTACCCTTCAGTAGACAGTACAGCAGCATTTTATGTTGTTTTGTCCTTTCCTGAAGTGTTTATTTGGGGCATTTATTGCATTTTGCTGTCCTTTCTAACTTCTTTCTGTAGGCCTGGCCAGAGAACTGTAGATGACTTAGAATTTATATATGAAGAACTTCTTCACATTAAGGCCTTATCTCATCTTTCTACCACAGTAAGTATGTTTTTAAAATATAACTCATCATCAGAAGAGAGGTTGAATTTCGACTTCTGGTTCCTTATTAGAAATGGAGCGTCTGTAATGTTTTCCATTTACACTTTCTATGCAAAGATGTTATTCCCACCTGTGAGTGCACCCAAGCCCTATGCAGATGTAGGTTGTCTTTTGGATTTCAGATGTGATTCTTCTAATGGGTTTCTGCACAGCCCCTACCTCACTAACTTGGCACAGGTGCCTCTGTCTGGGTCCATAGCTGAGTTTAAAATCAAATGCATGCAATCTGACCTGACACCTGGGACTGTGGCCTCACTGAATTTTGCAGAATACATGTCTGAGTTCTGAACTGTCTTTGGTTTGAACCAGTTAGGAGGAGGAATTAGTCCAGAGAGGCGCACTGTGCCATGCTGGCTGGCTGGTCACTGACTGAAGGAAGCCTCATCTTCTCTCTGAGTGGACAAGAACAGTGCAGAGAATCAAGAATAAATGAAATGGAGAAAATGCCTGGAGTAGAGAATGCAAATGTTTCAAGTCTTACCATCTTTTACACACTGTGTAGGCAACTGAAACAAACCTTTACCTGGTAGCAACAAGATGTGGGTGCTTTCAGAAAAAAAGAAGCCAGTCAGAAGGTAGACTTTTGTTTGACAGTAGCTTCTTTGGAAGCTCTTGCTATTTTCAGTGATTTTCAGCTAACTAGCACAGATGCAGCTAATTATGAAGCTGCATTACATGAAGATAGTACTCCATGCAAACATGTAACACCTGAGCAATGTTTTTCAGAAAGAACATGCATCCAGAGTTGTTAACTGAACTAAGAGGAGACAGCCAGGCAAAATCATGAAGTATCTCTAGGATGTAGGAGAAAGGTATTTAAAGAAAGACTTCTCTATGATCCAGAAATGTCCCTTTTAAAATCAAACAAAAGAAACTACCCAAGATAGACAGGTTCTGGGAAGGAGTGGAGAACACTCTTCATACTGCAGACATAACCCAGAACAAAAAAAGGAAACTACAACAAAACATAAAGTATTTCCAGCTCAGAAGAAATTCAGACTTGAGGTGAGAATCCATAGCAAGTAGCATATAGAACAAGTATGGCAAATGATGAAAGCTGCAAGAAATTCTTGGCATTTTGAAGAAGTGACGTTGATGCCATATTTTTACTGAGAATTTGGAAATGCCAGCCTATTACATGCAGCATGGACTAAAGCAGAGGAGAGGAACCATGGTGTGGTATGTTTATGCTCAGTGCCTTTAGGGTGTCAGGGCCTGAATTTGTCCACCCATCTTAGGAGGTGCAGCCACCAGACTCTCATCTGGATTGTGTTCAGACTTCCTCTCCAAGTTTTTATTCATGGCCTAAAAACTTTTTCAATTTAAAGAGTTGAGAGAATGATGTGAAAATACAACTAAATATATGTTGGAGGCTTTGATCTGTATTTGTCACAAGTTAAAAGATAGCTCTGAAACATGGATTGTCACCAGCTGAGATTGTCTGAAAACAGGAAATGCTTGGAAATAGGCCTCCAAGTCCTTGGAGACTTGTGATTGTACGGAAGAGATACATAAAGCATATAAAAAAACCCAGGATAATATGGGGTTCCCATTGCTGCTACTATTTTGTGAAACTCTGACAGTGTTTACAGTGAGAAAAAGTGCCAGGGAGAAAAGTTGCACCAGGGGAAGTTTAGATTGGATATTAGGAAAAACTTCTTCACCGAAAGGGTGGTGAAGCACGGGAATGGGTTTGCCAAAGGAGGTGGCAGAGTCACCATCCCTGGACGTGTTTAAAAAATGGTTGGATGTGACACTTCAGGAGGTGGTTTAGTGTTAGGGTGGTGCCGGGCTGTAGGTTGGACTTGATGATCTTAAAGGTTCTTTCCAAGCTTTATGATTCTATGATTCTAAAGAGTGTCTCACTAGCGGCAAGTTTTGCCTGGGAACCTCTCCGGTGGAGCGGGGCCTCAGCAGGTGCAGGTGGCCATGCCTCCCAGCTTGGCACAGCCCAAGTGGCCAGACTGATGTCAGTAAAGGGAAGGGCACTGATTTCTGAGGGAAGAACAGGATTACCGCAGAGCCCCATGGAGTACTTGACAATGGCTAGTTGTCTTCTGTAACAGATTAGCTGTCAGCACTGGAAATTTTCCATGATCTTAATATTAATTGTTAGTGATAGTTTCACATGTGTGTGTATGAAGAAGGATGCCCTTGTCTGAGCCACTTGGAGCTAGAGCACTTAGAAGCTCACGTTCTGTAAAGCCAGTCGTGGGCAATAGGACATCAAGGGAAGCAGACAGTTCGTTGTCTGACGGTGTGACTCTCAATGACTGCTGAACGGTGCAAAGGGAAGGAAAGCAGCAACTGGTGTATATTATGTGACTTCCTTTCACCGGGAAGAATAAGATACCTACAAAAACTGTAATTTCTCTCTCTTTATTTTAAGGTAAAGCGAGAATTAGCAGGTGTCCTGATTTTTGAATCACATCCCAAAGCAGGAACGGTCTGTAAGTAAATGGGGTCGTGTCAGATCTTCTCTCTCATCTATGGCATGAACGTTTAAATTCTTAATGTTTAAATGGCAAGAGCAAAATTTGTATGTATTCTTCAAACATGACTGGCACTCAGTGTTCAAAACCTGGGATCATAGGTGGTGGCCTCATTGCGGTAACAAAATAAATTCAATATCCGTGGTCGAATGTATGTATCACCTACAATTTAGGTATGTTTTTATCTAGAGTTTTGGATTGGACGAATTTCTATTTAAAATTTATTTTAGTATTATCCTTGTATTAAAAACATGTTGCTGCACAAAGTAAAGAATTTAGAATGTTAGATTGCTCAGACTTGTTTAAATTAAATGTCAAATTCACAGCTACTTGTGAATTGGATTAGAACATGGTGCCACGGGTGGGATCCAGATCTGTGTGCTGATTAGTAATTGATAACCTGACATCTATCAGTAAAGTTGTTGCAGTTGTCAAGGAAAATAAAAGCGATTTCCATATCAGTGTAAGAAGATAACTACTATATGGGTGTGGCTTTGTTGGTGGGGGTTTTTTTTAAAATGTGAAAGCAATTGCTTTTAAAATCATAGTATGCCTTTTCTCAAAGTAGACATTAATGTGACTGCAGTAGAGTTACCTTAAATTATATTGAGTGCAGAATGTGGCCCTTTTATGTTTTGAGCAACTAGATTCTCACCATAAAATCTTTTCTCTCTCTTGTAGTATTTAATCAGGGAGAAGAAGGTACTTCTTGGTACATTATCCTAAAGGGATCAGTAAACGTAGTCATTTATGGCAAGGTATTTTTTTCAGAAGCTTTTCTATATGATTTTTATTACTGAAATTTTGAGAGTAAACTTTGAAGGAATACAGTTTAATTTAGAGCAAAATTGCTTTGTCTGAGGAAATTAATATAATTTTATTAAGAAATGATCCAGTGGTTTCACTGATTATGCTTCCAGTTCGTTGCTGTATAATTTTGAGATATATTACACACTTTCTGAATATAATTCAGCAGAGTTACATCAGTATCTTTAGGACAAAGTCATTTGCTGGAATTTGGTGAATTGCCAGACTTCTGCCTCGTGGATTTCTGCCCTGTCCTTTTACCACCATATTCTCTGGCATCCGTTTGACCAACTTTTCTCACGCATGTCAGGCATGTCTGACAGAAGTATTGCTTTGTGGCTAGAGGTTCTCATGTTGGATAAACCCCATATAAATTTATGCCAGCTCTTCATTTTAGTTAATCTGTAGACTAAAAAGAATCTCATTTAAATTTCCTGGTTCTGAGAGAGATTTTGCAAGGCAAAAAATAGGACTTTTATACGCAGCAATCCCAAGTCTTTAAAAATCCCAACTTCCCTCTTGTTTTCTCATTCAGTGACTGAGAATCCTCCATTCTGAACACCAAGCACTCACCAAAATCTGGCATAGAGGCCCTGGTGCTAAGCCTGTTCCTAAGTAACCCAGATTTATCTCTTTTTTTACATCACTCAGCAGGCCAGGTACTCTGTTACTATCAGTGGGAGTAAATGGAGCACTGCTGATATACACTGAGTGAGGAAGAGGTGTTATATATTATTTCTGCAAACTTGATCTTATTTTTTAGGGCCTCTGTAAATAAAAACCAAACAACTCAACAACTTTCTGTCTTCAGCAGGGCTAGAAGAGTCCTTCGAGCTGAACGTAATTTCAGAGAACAAGCCAATTCTTTCTATTCTTGTCTTTCTTCAGTAATAGTAATAACCAGCTATCAAGTATTGTTTCCTAGTAATTATTTTGGATGTTGATTTCCTGCCAAATAGATTTGTTTTGGGATTTGATTGTGAAGTCCGGTGTTTGTACAAGGGCTTTCAATAGAATCCAGAGTAATGATGGGTTTCTGCATGTAAATGTTTTGCTCTGTGCAGGGTGTGGTATGTACTCTACATGAAGGAGATGATTTTGGCAAGTTAGCACTTGTGAATGATGCTCCCAGAGCAGCATCCATTGTTCTGCGTGAAGACAACTGCCACTTCCTGAGAGTAGACAAGGAGGACTTCAACAGGATCCTTAGGGTGAGAGTGGGAAGGGCCACCCCAACAGCATGATATCAGAACTTCCAATTTTTTCTAGAATCTCTCTTATTTCTATGCATATATTGATGTTGATAACCTTGTTTGAAATGTTCCTAAGTGCAGAACAGAGATGTGACAGTGTAGGAGATCAAGGAAATAATATTTTAATCATCTTTCCTCTTTTTCTGCTCAGCCACAAAAATGGGACCAAATGGAATTTTTTTCTTTTGCATTTCTGTGGTCTACTATTTGCCAAGTGCTCAGTTTTTCCTTATGCTATTCAGTATTTCTGGGTGATCTTCCAACCAAATATCGAATAAAATAAAATCACCCACTCTCCCAGATAGGTCAGTGTTGGGTACCTTAAACTCTATAGATTCAAGTGGAAAATTAAATAAGCTACAGGCAAATACACAGATGTCTTTATCAGAGAGTCCTAGATATTTATTTCCAGACTAATTTTAGTTATTCATGTCAGGGCCAACGTCTTCCAAAGTCCAGTTGTAATTCTGTAAATACAGGCTGTTCTGCAGTCATTCATAGTATGGGAAGTCAAAACTTGTATCATCCTGTATTCAAATGTATACGTGCCCAGTATGGCAGCAATAAAATCTGTCCAGACAGAGTACTGTGCTGGAAAATGGCATAAGATTGTGTTTACTGTACAAAAGGGAACGGGGATTCTATTGGCATAAGGTTGTGTTGGCCAGGGAGAGTAACAGCTTATTTAACTCTAGTCAATACCTCAAAGCAGATCAAAGTCCATGGTCTCACTGATTTTCATCTGTGTTGTTTGAGTGCACCTTATTTTTAATTCTTTTTTTCTTTTTCTTGTATGATCTGGTAGGAGAAAATGAAAAATTTACTGACAGTTTAGTGAGCTAAGACTTACTATTTTTAAGTGAAATTTTAATTATTTTTTTTAGAAAGAGAAGAGTCAGATTATAGATAATAATGTTCATCTCTAAGTGAGGAGAGAGATTACATTACATATGGAAAGTTGGGAGGGACCTCTGTTTTTTGGCAAGCCTTTTTTCCTTTGCCATAGCCAGAGATTATTCACATCGTTCTTGCTCAAGTCCCGCCCGCAATTCTCTGCCTCTTCCCCCAGTGCCAGTGCTTCCCTCTTCATTCTGCCTGTGAGAAAAGCAGAATAAAGATAGATAAATACAGGAGCAAAGAACGAAGGCCAGATTCTTTTGTGTTTGAAAGTCATGTACTTATTCAGAGTACCTAATCAGCCAAATTGGTTGCAATTACTCTATTAAAAGTAACTTGTCTTGCAGGATGTGGAAGCAAATACAGTAAGACTCAAAGAACATGACCAAGATGTCTTGGTGTTGGAGAAGGTCCCAGCAGGAAACAGAGTTTCTAATCAAGGAAATTCACAGCCTCAGCACAAGTATGTTTTCATTCAGTAGTGCAAACGTCAGACACTGATTAACCTTTTCACATGGTATTATTATCCAAACAATAGCATATTCCCCTTTTCTATGGCAGAATGCAGTGCATATGGTTTTCTTTTTTTTTTAATCATCATCTGATCACATGCCCCATACTGGATAATACATCCATTTCCAGTAGCACACCAGCACTATGTCTTTACACAATAATTCTCTAAGGATCTCACCATAAATACTTATCTCATGTAATAGCTTCTAAATAGACTACACATGGAGAGTGCTGACACCCGATTAAGTGGAGCTACTGTGTAAAAGACGTGAAGAAAGTACGTTGTTTTTTGGTTAAGTACATATATTTTCATCTTGAATTTTGAGCTCTGGATTCAAATAAGAGTTTGCTAGGTATGATTTATGTAGAAAACGAAGATCTCATGCAATGAAAGTAACACAGCTTATCTTACAGAATACATTTGCACTATAATAACAATATTCATTATATTTTCCTTCTTACTGAAAGGGAAAAAGTACAATTCTGTTTGGATACTACTGTGATAAGAGTAGAGTGAGGCTATTACCATTCCAAATGTTGGTAAAACCCCTAAAGGCTTTGTAAATGTGTTATTTGCAAATGGAAGCACAATTTCCGTCAGAAATGCTTGAACAACTCCAACAAAATAAGCACCAAGAGGCTTTGAGCCCTTTGCCCTGGACCGTACTTTTTCTCAAAGAAAGAGCTAATATAATATGAGATATTTTGGGTGCAGTTTTTATCTGATCTGGAATTTCATACACCTATTTTTTCTGCATAACCGCATATAAAGATTTGTGGAGATCTCTGATGGATTGAATAAACCATTCCTTGTACTTCGTGTAGACACTTCACATGTTTCAGAAACTGCCATTTCATCTTTTACTTGATCTATTAGAAAACCAAACTATGCTGCCAGGAAAATATGTACTCTCACAACAAATTTCCTTGTCTAAATAATAGGAACTTGAGTGCAGCAAGTGGTTTACATCAACTGTTGCAATGCACAGCAACTCGATCCTAGATTTAAACCCATTTTCTAGGGACTGATAGATTTTTCATGCTTTCAGAAGTGACAGCCTCATTTAAGCATATTTTAAATGCTGCCTTCCTTGCAAACTCTTTGTCCAAGCATTATTTTTATTATTTAACATTTACTTGTTCAGAATTTGATAAAAATTAGCTAGAGACATTTATGGTCCCTCGTTAAGTTAGGCTATATTTTAGAGCTTACTTTCCAGGAATGTGTTTAGGTAAAGCTCAGTTTCATTTCTGTAAATATTTTATGCATTTGGCCAGTTTTTAAGTACTATCCGTGTGCCATCAAGGTGGAGTTTGCTGATAACAATGACCAATAGACAAGCGATACAGAAGAGGAAGCTACCTTGAAAGTTCACTGTCTTCTTTTCACTAGATTTCTTTGTAAATGGTGTGTTGCCAATGTCTTTTTGTTTAAAGTCTTTCAAAGTGATTTCACTAATTTTTAAGATGTTTTTCTTTTATTAGTAAATAGAGTATGTGACTACATTTATGCTGAGTAGTCCAAATCAAAGTTACTGCTATGTTCTGATTTCCAGAATGTGTTACTGAAATGTGTTAGGTGAGTGTTCAGTACTTCTGAAAAATAACTGTGCCCGAAAGAGAAGCTTAACAGCGACCTCTTCTTAGAGGCTTACTCCTTTGCCCCAAATTGAGTAGCTTACATCTTTAATATCTCTTCTGTTGAGCTGCCCTTTGGTTAGTGAAGGAGGTATGCAGCATTTGCATCCCAAACTTGTTCCCTGAGATATGCAGTCAACCAAGAAACTCATTTTCTTCATCTTACACTTGGGGAGAACTTCACTTCGGGAGCAGAGCCTCTCAGTTGCAGTTCGGTTTCTGCTGCCTCCTCTCCTGAGGACGCACAGCTCCTGTGCAGTTCCCCAAGCCAAGCTTTCAAGCAGCGACAGTTTCGCTTCGAAGGACTGGCTCTGAAGTTCTCACTCCCAAGATCTAACTCTTTATGGGTGATCACACTCGTGCGGGATGAATTCAGCAGCCCTGCAAGTCGCTTCACTGTTCATTTTTGCTTTCATATTCAGAGTATAGCAACCTGTGATTTCTCTGCTTCACTCACTTAGATACTTGGTTAGTATCTCTGTGAGAATGTGCACTGGCTTAACAAGTGTTTGTGTTCTTGGGACATCAATACAGTTTTTCCAAAGGGGTTGGCAGGTAAAAGAACTGTGACGGTCAGCGCTCAAAGTGAGGAGGAGCTCCCAGGAGCTCAGCTCCACCACTTATTTCTCAGCAGGAGCAGAGTATCTTCACTTCTCGGGGTTTTTTCTTTCTTTCTTTTTTTTTAAGTTTCATACTTTATCAGCTGGATTCAAAAAAAGAAAAAAAAAGGATGCAAAGATTGAAAGAATGGAGGGAAAGATAAAAAAAATCTGATCTGCAAAGAAAAAAAAGATGACAGGATGAGTTTAGCAATATCCTGTGATATTCTGCTGGTACTTAAATTCTTGACAGTATTTTTGCATTAGCAGAAGACAATTACTACTGCACTAGTTCTCTCATCTCTCTAAATTTACTCCAGGAATTGGTACAATCCTAAGTTTATCCACTTGAAAAACTTACTTAGTTCAGCTATCTAAGGCAGTGTACAAATTTGAAGATGCAATGTGTGGTTTCATTATCCATTCCCATCTCCTCAGTCCAGCCCCTGTCAGTGATGCTGAAGGAAATTGTTTCCTTGCTCTGACACTTCACTTGCACACCACTTCTCATTTCTTACTTACAGCAGTAAGTCTGTTAAGACCCTCTAATGACTGTGGATTGCTATCATTGCTGAGATATTTATTCTCAGTGAAGAAGCATTGCTGAGAGCACTTTCCCGGGTTTGCACCAGTGCAGCTCTGCTGACAGCAAAGTAACCGTGGTGGTGTTATACTGGAGTACTTGTGCAGGGAGGAGGGCCATCTGTCATCTTCCAGTCCCTGGGTGGGGTGGAGAAGGTATTGTTCCCATTTTACAGGGCAAAGCCAACAGAGATTGTGAGTAGTTTTGTTCTAAACCGCACAGAGTTTCTAGTCAGAGCAGGTATTTGTACTCTGGCACTCATCAGTCCTGGTCTTCTCACTGAGAACGCAACTGCTTTCTTGATCAGCTGTTTTGCCTGTGAGACACTGACTGCTCCTTTTGCTCCCTCAGGTATATTGTGATGTCAGGAACTCCAGAGAAAATTTTAGAACACTTTCTAGAAACTATGCGCCTTGAAGCAACTTTAAATGAAGCAACAGGTATCTACATGAAAAAGGCAGAGTTGCTGTTACTGCATAAATGGTCTTGCTGGGGGAACACCGCAAGGGTATGCTTTGAAAAGCAGCTACTGGTAGTTTTTCCGAGAGTAAGAGTATCCACTTCTCTGAAGTAACCCTGAGAAAACCTAGGAAATCTGGAATTCAAGACAACAATCCACTCCTCTTAGCCCATTCTACAATATTTGTACTTTTGGTTTAGATAGAACAGCAAAATCTCAAAAGCTGCCAGACCGCTAGTCAAGACTTTAATTAGACCCAACTGTAAGGCCAGGGCAGAGCCTGCATTACCACCCAATGATAATGGTAATCACATTTTTTATTCTGGATGTCACTTAATACTGTGAACTAGCTTGACACCTTCAGCTGTTGTATTATGCTAGCATAAGTATTCCAGAATTTTTATATCCACATCACATTTAAAATATCACAATTTAAATTACTTGTTTGTGATACTTTCCCATGTGCAGGGAGAGAAGAATTGTTCCTCAAAAGAGCAGAACTCAGCACACTATGGGCCAGGTCCCAAGAATGCAGGTTGCTGCAGCTGCACTTATTAGTCTGATTTTCATTAGTGTAAAGACAACAAAGAATTTATATCTAAGGATATAGATATATGCTGACTTAGTAAGTATTTTCATTTTTTAAAAAGAGTCAGGCAGAAAAAATTCCCTTTAATTATGATAAAGTAATGCAGAGACTTTTGTGTTAAGCTACATAATAATCACTTTAGCAAGTTCTTTTTACATTGCAGATGTCTCAGAAGTATATATTTGAAGGTGTTCTTAAATCCTGTTAATCTGTTACTGACCTCAGTATTGGACCTGTATAGTGGCCCGTAAATGGTGAAAGAATTGAAAGATTACAGAAATCCTTTTACAGTGTGTGTTTTAACTACTTTTAAGAATAAAAATGATCCTTTTCGTAGATACCTGTTTATTAGGATTACACACAAATGTTGTTTTCTAAGCTTGCAAGCACATAATCACAACTTTACTATTCATAGTGTGGACATATTATACATTTTTCTAAAATGAATTCTTTTAAAACTTCTCCCCAAAACATCCAATTACAAGATTAAACTTATGTCCAAATGGGATACAGAATGAGACAATTTACAAGCAAAGCTATTTTTAGGATATAGAAGCTCAGAGTGCTGGAAAATCAAAATTTTAGTTTATGCATTCATTTAGTTTAAGAACAGTTAAATCCACTTTGCTCTGGATATTACACAAAGAAAAAGTCACACCCTTTTGGGGAGAGTTTTGTCAATTTAGAGATATTTTCATGTATGAATTACAGTGGAAGCAATGATGTGATGTTGCATTACACAGTTATCTCACCATATTTCTTCTGACCTCCCTTGCTTGCAGGGTTTTTTAATGTTTCTCTTATCTCAAAACTTGCACTGTAGAAACATACCCCACGGTACTGTGTTTATTGTTTGTCATTGATACCATATAAGACTTGTATAGTTTAAAAGTAAAATAAGTAAAAAAATAAGAAGTAAAAAAACTTAATTCTGGCCTTTGCAGCCAGGCTTTAGAAATCCTTCTTTTTGTCACAAATACAAAGATAAGGCAAACTGGGATTTACACCAGCATTACCACAGACCTTTTTGACAGAAAAAAAATACAAAACAAAACAGAACATCATATTGTTCATACATGTTTTAATGTGAATGTAGCAGCTATGATACTTCTGAATCAAAATGGAACTAGAAATTTGACTGTCCATTAACCTCTTTTAGGCTTTCTGTTCCTTGCTAGGAAATCAGCAAAGAATGAAATGATTTGCCTTCTCCTATGAAGTCTATATGGAATGTGCTGTCTGGTATTGTAGTTCCCTAAAGCCAAATGCAGCAGCACTTCTTAGGTACCCAGGTGTGGTAGGCCCAACTCCTCTTATGCTAAGATCTATGCACTTGTAGAGAAATGTATCTTTGACAAAAGCAAATGTCTGTTAACAAAGTGCAATAAAATGCTTGCAGAAAAGAATAAAAGCTTTATATTTCAGCTCATATATTTTAATTTCCCATTTTCTTACTTAATGCCAACAAAGTACAGCAAGACTTATTATCTGCAGAGGGCTAATAAGATACTTTAGCTGAAAGAAAACTCATCCTTGTGATCCCTAAGCTATTTGCAGGGTTTAATTGGCTGTTATTTTTTCTTCTCTTTTCACAGACTCTGTTTTAAATGATTTTATTATGATGCACTGTGTTTTTATGCCAAATAGCCAGCTCTGCCCAGCCTTGATGGCACAATATCCTTTTGTAAGAGAAAAGTTACATCCCTTTAACAGTTATCCCTATGGGTGATGAGACTGAAGCTTCTCTCTCTGAAGAAGTACATCATGTTTATTGGAGGCTGAGCCTTGTGGGTGGGTTCTCAGTGTCTGACTAACAGCTGTCTGTGGGTCAACAACTCTGAAATGGGTGGCTTGTACCCGTGATGAGATACAGTCCCAGAGCATGAAAACTGTACCTTGCCTGTGCTGATTATGATTCCAAGGGAAAGAAATGTACTGTCCCTCTACCAGGTAAGTGAGATTACGCAAAGATTTGGATTACCTTTCCTGTGTCATTCCTGTCTTTCTTGGTTTTTTGCTGAACTACAGCATCTAGATTTCAGCTACGATTGTTGTGTTTTGGTGATTTCACTTTATAGATTGCAAGCTGCAAACCACCTCAAGCAAAAGGGTACCTAAACTAGCAGAATAATGAATAAGTAGTTCCTAGGTGCTGTCATAATAGTTATGAAGTAAAATATAAATTATAATATTGTCTATAGCAAGTGTTAACAAACTGCAAGAAACTTCAATTGCGTGTGAATACACAGGAGCTGAGAGCTTACAGTGGACAGCATTGAGAGCTGGAGGTGATTCTTGTACTGCCTGTGTACTTTAGAGAAACGTCTGTCAGTGAGTTACTGGCAGGCCATTTACTTTGAGGAGCTGCTGGGCACTGAGAGTTTTCCTTGTGCACAGTGACTTGAAGCTATCAAGTGACTGGCAGCATTAAATAAACATCTAGTGTTTTCAGTTTTACAGGATTCTGACAGGAGTATAATGACCTCAATTCCCTATTCATTTTTTTAGAATCAGATTGGTGTGAAAGTGTGCTTTCCTTGAAGCTGAGCGGGGTGAGTGACATCTGGGAAAGCTAATGCCCTGAAACCACAAAATAGAGCATCATGTCCTTGTCTCGCAAGCTTGAGAATCCATTTGTGTTAGTCCTAGCAAGGACAGTAATTGTTTTCAAAACCTTTGGACCCATAAAACTGGTCTGCAGAAAATTGTTTGTACACCTGAAGCAAACACATTTGCCAAAAGCATATAGTTTTGGATATCAAAAAGTATTCTGAATTACTGTTGCTGACAGCTTTGAGAGAGAAAGAAAAGGGCAGCATTTTTTGTGTTTCAGAGGTTTTTTTCTGATAATATCTAACTCGTATTATTAAATCAGTCCATTTGAGATTCAGGCTTGTCCATCCTCAGTTATAATAGTATACCTCTGATATCCAATAACTGGGAAAATCAGATGCATAAGGAAAATGTACCTCATTGTTTAAAGGGTGAAAGCTTTTCTGATTATCAAAGTGGTAGTGTCATTTCTGCATACATTTTCACTTGTGATGAAATCTGTTCTGAAGAGGAGGCTAAGGCTGTGGTCTAAAGTAGGTCATGGCAGGCATTGTGCTAATTCTTTTCAGAGGAGGAGGGTATCCCACTACTTTAGTGTCAGCTTTCCTTAGAGCTGAATTATTGTTTATTTGGTCCATTTTGAATATGAAAAATCTATGCTCTGCTGATTGTACCATTGAAATTTATTCTTAGAGCAAAATGTTTGCCGGTGTTGTTAGACTAAGGAGAGATCAGGTATGCTTACTGAAGAAATTAAAACAGAAAAAGAAGAAAGGTAATTCACTCAGAGACACTGTTTTTTCCTCCAGCTCCCAGTTTTGAAGCAATAGAAGTCTATTTTCCTATACCAGCTTAGAATCGTAGAATCATAGAACAGTTTTGGTTGGAAGAGACCTTCAAGATCATCAAGTCCAACCTTTTCCTAGTCCTGTCAACACCATGAAACCACATCCCTCAGCACAACATCCACCCTTCTCTTAAACACCTCCAGGGATGGCGACTCAACCACCTCCCTGGGCAGCCTGTTCCAGTGCCTGACAACCCTTTCAGTAAAGAAATTCTTCCTAATATCCAACCTGAATCTCCCCTGTTACAACTTAAGGCCATTTTCCCTTGTCCTATCACTCTCTACTAGGGAGAACAGACCAACCCCTGCCTCACTGCAGTCTCCCGTCAGGTAGTTGTAGAGAGCGATAAGGTCTCCCCTCTGTTTCCTCTTCTCCAGGTTAAACAGCCCCAGATCCCTTAGCAGTTCCTCATACAACACATGCTCCAAATCCTTTACTGACTTGGTTGCCCGAGCTACTGTTTTAGCCATCAGCATGCAAATATGAGTAGAGCTAGACCACTGTTGTGCTTTACAGCAGCATTTTGTCATTTGTAAGGTCTTTAACCCTGAAAGGAATGGACAGGTGCATTGTTCTGGCTAAGTAACATAGTTGCTTGCTGTGGATTCAGTGCTTATACTGTCCCTTGGCACAGCACTCTCTTAGTCATTAAAGTATATGGATCTTGCAATACTAAAAAAAAACAAATCACATACTTCTGTTTTATAGGGAAGCAAAGAGCATATTCCCCTGTCCTGGATCAGGACATGAGTCCTGTGTGTTGGGCCAAGGCTTATTTCCCTTCTTCACAAAGATAGAAATGGACAAATTATCAGAGCCATGGCTTATCAGAGGGAGGCAGGACAAAGCCCAAAAGAAAACTTGAAATAGAGGACACTTCTAAAAGTGCAGGTGTGCATCTTTAAAGCAGCACTGTCTAAGTACTTAGGAAGTATAAACTGCTGTTTTGCTCTCTCTCAGTGACAATCCTTTAGCATGTTTCTGTATCAACCTCCTTTACCATCATGCCAGCAAAATAGTTTGCATTCTGCTGTAGCAGTGGGTGCTGATTTTGTACAGCTCCTGATATGGTTAACTCTTCCTGTGCAAAGAAGAACAGACTTCAGAACTGATTCTGTTTCCTAGCATATGCTAGGCATAATTAAATATATATATATATTGAACTTTAACCACGTTGGTGTTGATAAATATTTTACAGTTTTCTGGCCCTTGTTGCAAGTATACATGGTATTTTACTTCTAATTGCAGTCTGCAGTGAAACTGGATTCTGCAGGTCCCATAAAAATGGGAGAACCCTTCATTGACTTTCCCTGTGATAATGGTAAAAGAGTAATTAATGTAAATGAGCAGTAAAAATATAGACAAATTACCAGTGCCTGTGGTGAGTCGGTTAGTAAGAAAGTAAAAATACATGAAATAATTACGGTATTTGAAAGGTAAAAATGGCATGAGAAAAATGACTCAGTAGAATATTAAATTTTCTCCTTGAGACATCAGAGCAAATAGTTTACAATGTGTTATTTACTTCTTATGACCCTTTGATTTATGTGCTCCCATAAATGTACTGACATATTTCATTTTGTAGAAATTTTAAACCTTTCTGCAGATTTCTAAAAGCTTATGAGTCAAATGAGCACCCCAGGAACCCTGGTAGCATGTCAAATCTTCACAGGGCTTTTGGGTAGGAGGATCATTTGGAAAGTGTGAGTTAATAGATACTTTCTCCCATTATATTTTGTTAGAGAAATGTTTCTAAATGAAAAGCTTAAAATAAATATATTAGATAATTTTGATTTCTAATTATTAGTTTAAAATATTTTGTTAGAGCAATGAAAGGTATACCTTGAAAAGCTGCTGGACTCCTCTGGGTGAAACAATATTTTGATATTAAACATTGCTACATAATTGTGAATAATATTATTTGTGACAATCCAGAGTCAGAATTTTGGTATCTGTGAAGAAAAGTTGAAGATGTAGCTGCACTCATTCTGTGCTTATTCAGATCCAGCCATCAGTTTATTGGGAAACAGTTTAAATATATATGTTAACCTCTGATCAGTGAGAAGTAGGCACACAAATTTTCATATCCTGTTTCTGCTGAGGATTCTTCTTCATTTTCGCATAGGTTAAAGGCTGAAATTGCCTCCATTTATTGCCCGTTGTGCCTTTATTTTTTTCTTAGTTTCTTCCTTTCAATAAATGTTAGTTTTGGCCTTTTTGCTATTTGCGAATTTTGTAAGGTTGACATTTCACCATGAAAAAGGTCAATGCAATGTTTCTCAAATTTTCTTGTTGTTTATCACAAAATAACTATCACAAAGCATTGTGTCCCAAATGCGCTTTCTTTGACAGAGTGGAAACTTTTGCATTTTTGTATGTAAAAATGAGGCTACTATGTAATATATTATTTTAGTCCATGTCTCTATAGTCAGTCTAGGCTGTAACCTTCCAGGCCCTCCTGGTATAATGGGACTGAGGTTCACCCTGAGTTACAGTAACTTCTGAAAATAAAAGGAGTGACACTGGCAGTCCATTCCAGTGGTCTTCCTTACAAAAAGAAGGCTAGAATTGTAAATAAACACAAAGTGATATTCTTCTTTTTTTTTTAACTATCTCCAGGGAAGAACAAGGAGAAATATCCTTCTTCAGTCCTCATAGTTAATCCTCTTCTTTATTGTTCCAAGTGTCATTTCTGTTCTGCTCCCCTACAACAACTGTCTCTGTGGTGGGATTGTGATCATTCCCATGCTCTTTAGAGAATTCACTGTCTTTTTACTTTTTTGTATGAACGTGAAAGGTTCGCAAGTCTTTATGCTAGCAGCAGTCAGAAATCAAAAGTATATATTGGAAAGTTATGTTTGAACACCATGAAAATGGTTTGTTGGAAGTCAGTTATTTGTGAATTCATATGAATTTTGATATATTCAATCACTAAGCGTTTTCCTTGACACCATGGCACCTACCATGCCCAGCCTTCCCAGGGTACAGAGCAGGAGAAAATGGATTATGCCCTCAACAATAAAAGGCGAGTCATTCGACTGGTTCTGCAGTGGGCTGCTTTATATGGAGACTTACTACAAGAAGATGAAGCAGCAATGGCCTTTTTGGAGGTATAAAGGAATTGTTGTGTCATTGTACTGAAAAGCACCTACCAAGCAAGATAAGCTGAAAGCTTGTTCCTGGTTTGCAGAATTCTGTTAGGAAATGAAGTAGGTCATTTCAGAGTGCAAACTCATAACTGTTTTCTTGGGTTTAGATGCATATAGAATATGCACTACAACAGTACTTGAATCATTGTCAGCCTCCAGACCTCTGAAAATATCTACCGGAGCTGCAGACCCCTTTCAAAGCACTGCATGCGTAGATTGCTTTGTAGCAATAGATGAATTTGCTTCTTTTTAGTATTTTCTTGTGAATATTTCAGAGGCTCTACAGTTTGAACTGCTGGTGTTGTTTATGCCTGCCTGAGGTGTGCCAGGAAGGAGCTTGAGGGTTCTCACTCTGCAAAACCAAAAAACTTTTCCATTTGAATGAAAACTGTACTGTAGCTATTGAAACTTAAGATCTTTGTCTTCAGAACCCTTTGATGCCTTAAAATCGTTTAATTCCTCAGACACTGGTCTTAGTGGTAGGTGCCATATCTTGTATCCTCTAAGATAAGATGCATGGCCAGTGTCAAGTTAAGTCATCATGATTGCCATTGTTACTATGAATCATGTTTATGGAACACAATCCCATATGTTACTGACTGAATGGAAGTTCTTGCCCCAAAAAGCTTAAAACTGAATCTAAGGTTAAGAGCAGAGGGGAATAGAGAGGGGCCTGAAGTATGACAGACACGTAGCAAGTCCTCATGGGAAAGCTTTTCATGACAGACAAGCTTTGGAGACGGAAATAATGTCTTTCTGGAAGTTAAAGAACAATTAATAGTTGCAAGCACATAGATCTTTCTTTGGGTTGGTTTTATGTAGGTGTCTCAGGAAGAGGATTGAGTAGGGTTTAAAAGAGGGTGATATTGCAACTGACTGCAGTAGCTGAGGGTCAACAGCTCAGTACCAAATGAACCACTAGTGAGAGCAATGGGTAAAGAAAAGCTATCATGCCAGATTGTTTGTGAATCTCATAGTCTTTATCCTTGATAATCTGAAAACGAAGTTTTTGCACTAGTGACTTGTGGTTACGCAACGAGCTAAGGAGTGTCATCAGGCTTTGCTTCTGCATAAGTCGTGCTTTAAATCAGCTGGAGTTGAACAAGTAGAAATAATAGAGGGTTGGGCCCAACATGTGTTCCTCTATGTAGATTATCATTCTTTATAATCATTAAGCTATCAGATGTCATCTCATAATGCTCTATCTAGTTATTTAAAGACTATTCTGTATCATTTACAGGAATTTTACGTATCTGTATCAGATGATACTAGAATGATTGCAGCACTAAAGGAGCAACTTCCAGAGCTAGAGAAAATTGTAAAGCAAGTGTAAGCACAGGTTTTGATTCTTTCCTCCCTCTGTCCTTTTTCTCAGTAAATAGATGAAGAAAATCTATGGCTTATATATATTAAAGATCCATTCAATGAATGGCACTCAGTTAATACAAGACTAAATATTTACATGCACGCTTGTTTGGATGAATGGCTGTGGTCCTCTCTTTCCACATCATTCTTGCAAACATCAAACTCTCATTAGAAGTTTAACAGAAGGAATAAAAATCTACGTGCACACCTTTGAAAACTAAACTGAATGCTTATTTCATGCTTGCATGAACTTTGTATAGTATTTTCCCTACCTCAGTTATACATCAACTATGGTATCATCTATTTTTTTCGTATATGGAAACATGAATATGTTGATAATGTAGTTTGACAAGTGGTCCACGTTTTATATGTGATTTTGCACACAAAATCTTCCACGTAATATTTAATTATGTGTTCTATGCTTTACCTTTTTATAGTTCTGAAGAACCTAAAGCACCACAAAAGAAGGTAAGATAATTTTCTCAAGTAGGAACTTTAGCCCAGCAAATCCACAGGCATCTTCTCTTTAGTAATCGTGGATATATTAAAACAACACATTGAGCAATAAGCCTTAACACTGTTGAACTTTGCATTGCTAAGTTTTTTTCCTGTCATTGATGAGATCTGTTGTAGTTCACATTTAGCCCAGAATATTTCTGTTGGCATTTTTGTGAATCCCAATGATTCTTTTTCAGCACAAAGTTCTTCTGCAGCTGTTCAACACAAGTGATGACAGAGCACAGAAACGCCAGCCTATCAGGGGCAGCGACGAAGGTGAGTCCTTTCTCTGCAAAGTTTTCTTGAGCCACTGAGATTTCCAGTAAATTCATCTCTCAGAATAATGGCCTAAAACAAACAAAAGTATCTACTCACAGTTTTGAAACCTGGCCTGAAGCAAACTCTGCTTTTGCTAGCCCAACATTCTCCATCATTGATTTGAAGTGCTTATGGTCTTTTCCCTTAGTTCTTGTGCTGTCAGACACTGTGCTTCCTCAGAGGAAGATGTGAAAATCTTTAAATCAGGGAATGAACAAAACAGGTAAGAACCAGTGCAGACAGTGTCCATGCAGGTAATGGCAGTGCAATAAATAGTGGGTGTTGGAGGTCACGTTTGAGCCTTCATCTCCTGTGCGTAGTTTGAGCTAACATGTACAGCTGTTCCTTTGCAAGATAGGAGCAGAGCAGATAATCCTGCCAAGGATCTCTGCCCTGTGGCACACAGCCTAGAAAACAAAATCTGCTGGTGTGTCCTATTGCTATTGTTTGATTCTCTGAAGAGATCAAGTTAAAATTTACCACAGTGTATCATAATATCATTTTCAGTTGTACTAGCTTTTCATATTGTCAGGTGGGTTAAAGCACTGCTGTGGGAACAGAGCCTGAGCTCTGCTGATGAGATCTCTTCATTGTAAACAAAGATATATGCCCCTTAAAACTCATAAATCTGAGGATTTCTTTGCAGCTACTAGGACCAGTCTCTCAATGCTTGTTTTGGTGCATCTTCATCACAGAAAATAGCTTTTGCTTCAAAATGTTTGATACTAAAGGATAGGGAACAACAGTAAAAAAAAAGGGAATTAAATGGAAGGTCATATAGCTGAGAAAAATGGTGACATAAATCAAACCAACAGAAGAGCCATTTCAAAAGCTGGAAGTAACTGCGTATGAACAGCAGACATTCTGCCCGGCATGCTGCTCCTGTTGCAATCCATGTTTCTTCCAGGTCTACAAAGAGCAAAACAGTTGCTGCTGCCGGCAAAGTACTTCTTGTGTCTGTGTGGACAGGCAGTAACTGCCCCTTTTGTGTGGCTGCACCTTCCTCACTGGCAGGGCAGGCAGCACCCTGAACACTGAAAATCCATGGACAACTCTTAACGCCAGGAGCTGCTGCTTGGCTTGGCTTGACAGCTGAGCTGAAGGAGTATTTTGTTAACTTCTGTCTCACATTCGTGTCACTTGGGGCTGCCTTGATTTTTGCAGGCTAATGCACTATCATATTGATTTGTAGGCAGGCAGAGGCCTGGGTTCATGTGTTATTCTGTGAGCCGATTTGTACTGTACATTCAAGTGTATTCTTATGTTTAGTTATTTTACTTCATTATCTACAACATTCATGGTTCAGCAATTATTTACTTGCTTGTAAAAAACAGGTTGCAGCACAGTTTGATTTAAGTTCTGATTGTAACCAAAACTACTTTTAAATCTATTTTATAAATATGACAATTATTTTCCTGTAAAGAAGAGAGTTTGCAGCCAGTTTTTCTGACTCTTGAAGTGTTGATTTAAAATATTATGACGTCTGTAGCATAACAGAGTGCCAGATTAAATTGGCATCCATAAATATTTTAGCAATAATGAAACACTAGTATTTCATGGTTTACTAAAAGCTCTGGGAAGTCAGAGGTTTCTGTATTAGAAATTGTAGAACATCTGAGGAATGGGGAGCTATCAAAACTAGTGATTTATTGTTGCTTTATTGGTTTTGTTTGTGAGGAATCATTACTGACTTGAAAATAATTTGTATAGTAAAGTCTCTGTGGTTGTTACATGTCATATATACAGCACAATCTTTTTTTATTCAGTTCTCTTTAAGGTGTACTGCATAGACCAAACCTACACCACTATCCGGGTGCCAGTGTCTTCCTCGGTGAAGGAGGTGATCAGCGCAGTAGCAGATAAGCTGGGTTCTGGAGAAAGCCTCATTATAGTAAAGATGAGTTCGGGAGGAGGTACTGTATTTGCTTCGTTTTTAACACTTCTCATTTATGGTGAAGCAGAATGTCAGGAGTGATTGAAAGACTAATTCAGTCAAGGCTTTTATATCCATGTGCATGTTCAGCTGGTGCACAGGTTCTATCCTAGCACCAAGTCCTTTCCGTACTGCAGGCATAGACTGGGGCTCACATGGGAGAAAATGGAAAAATGGAGAAGCTTGTGTATCTGCATGTTACAGAGCAGAGCTCCCTGAAGTTTCCTTCCCTGTAAGATTTGCAGGAGTTTTTTAACAACAGAAATAGAAGATAAATGTGGATAATGTCAGGCTAGACATACGAATCAGCAACAGCAGAAGAAGCTGCAGTGCAGACATTGCAGCAATGATCACTACCGTTCCAGCTGCTCTGTCCACACAGACCATTACCGAGCAGCTTGGTGCCAAGCCTATTGGCCTGGTGTTCGCAAAGGGTCAGGAATCAGACCCCCACTATGGGCTCTGAAAATGGGAGAGTAACTGCAAGGTGAATTCTGCTGGAGTGCTGACATTGCTGAAGTGCTCTGGTTGGGGATGACTCTGTGGATACACAGAGCTAATGAGAGCTGTGTTGAAATGCTTTTTTGCAAACAAGTGATGCCTGCCAAAACCAGCTCACCTCCTGAGAGCTGACACCGGGCGGCTCTACTTTCTGCAGTTGCAGCAATTTTTTACTGTCAGATTTGCTGACAGCTGGCGCGTGCTGGAAGAGACTGTTTTCTAAGTTACTTCATTGTCTTTTCTTTACCTGTGATGTGGTGCTCTTTTAGAACTGCTGTAATGTGATTTGAATACAGTTGCATTTCGTCACCTCCTTATGTAGTCACTGTCTTCCAAGACAATTTCTATTAAGAACAACTTAGAGCTTACAGCTCAAAGAAGAATGGATGGAGTCCCTAATGATGGATGAATTTTTGCAGTTAGTTTCTAGAGATGACATCACAGGCTTCTTGGCCTATCTGTACAGTTAGGGACCGGAATTCTAGTTCTGTATGCCAGTTCTGGCTTGGATGAGCTTGTTGTCACATTTCTTCAATAAAGAGAACCTTGTTGTCTATTTTATATCCTGTACATTGGTAGACTGTGCAAAATTTGCTCCCAGAAGAATGACCTGTGCAGCTGTTGGATCAGTCCTGCTGTAAATTCTACATATATTTGAGGGGCTGGTTACTTCAGTCAGTTGAGCATGGTGCTGATAACACCAAGGTCACAGGTTTGAGACCCGTTCGGTCCCCATATGTTGCCTGATCTAGTCAAGAGGTGGCGTCCCTGCCCATGACAGGGAAGTTGGATTAAATGATCTCTAAGGTCCCTTCCAGCCTAGGCCATTCTATGATTCTATGATATATATAACAAAAAATCTTCTGTTTCATGTTTACAGAAAAGGTTGTGCTCAAGCCTCATGATGTTTCAGTGTTTACAACTCTCAGTGTTAATGGACGGCTGTTTGTTTGCCCACGTGATCAGTTTGATTCATTGGTATGTATGTATGCAGTTCGCAGAAGATTCAATTATTTGAATGCTTTTTGTATTATCAGTACTTTAGATATAAACTAGTGGAAGCATTCACAACGAAGGGCTTGTCACAGTGCTATGGAGTGAGCTCTACAATTAAAACAAGGTAGTGTTATACTTTCCTAAACCACAGCAGAGATCTGTCTGATCCACATGACAGTACTTGATCCTCGTATTGCCTGTGTCCCACTGCACATGTAGGAAGAGCTGAATATTGTCACTAAGGCATGCAGTGATTCCTGATTACAGAATTATCTCCTCAAGACCATGGGGATATACTCTTGAAGATAGATGCTACCAATCAAAGTATTCTGGAGAGTTGTTTCCAACAGTAAATTCCTTAAAATCTTTTATTTCTTAGCCCCACAAAATACTGTGTCAAAATATCAGATGATTCTAAGTAGACTCACAGAAATATTCCTGGTTGAAAGCCTGTTTTTTCTTAAGTAGAATCATTTATAAGTACTTACAGTTTATACAGTAATTCTAATGATCTCCATGGGGTCTGCTTTTATAGAGTTTGATTTGACTGTACTTTTTGTTCCTTTTATTTCATTAAAAACAAACATCATTGCCAAGTCATGTCAGCATGAACTCTATTACTCCTAGCCTTGTTTCAGCCTCCTGTATGCTTTTAACAAGCCACTTAGTATGTATGCCTGATTTATTCTATAGATATGGTAAAATCTGTGCTTTGCTGCTGCTTTCAATTTAGTAGTCAGGGAATGCACATCCAGCATACTCTAGATCCATGCAGAGATACCTCTTGTTCAGTTTATTAAATTCTGGTGTTCCCTTAAGGTTAATTAATCCTGCCAAGCAGATACCCTCATGGGGCACACTACTCTAAAGCAGGGATGTTGCATCAGTACAACTACGCTGGGTACTTTTATATGTCTCTGCCTTGTCTGGGTAGACCTTACCTTGGCAGCAAATCGTCGTGACCTTCTGTGCCTTTTCCCCTGTGCTATTTACCATGGATCAAGTACTCAAAATGCTACAGGGACCTGTAAGATGCAGGGCTGCAATGTGCTGATTTTCATCAACTGGACTGACTTCAGTAGGAATTAGTGAGGAGCACTCAGCACATTTAAAAAGGTTCTCAGCATTGCGTAACAGAATACATCCCCTAATCAGCTGCATTTTTTCTAAGTGGTATAAATAAATTGAATAATATTACAGCCTTACCTCCCTCCCATCTTAATCCTTTCATGTTCAAATTTCTGGCTGCTGCCTGTGCATGTACATTTGTTCATATTACACTTGGCAATTCCTATGTGAAAATTGTTCTGGGTTAGATGAATTTTCAAATATGCAGTGAGCTTTTATCTGAATGCTTCTTTCCTAGTCTTGGAAAATATGTGTTTGTTATGGTAACGGCTATGTTTTGTTTGTCTCCAAATAGAGAAAAAAGTCCTCTTTCAGTCTACAGGCAATTCTCTTTCCACAGATTTTCACAGTTTAGGTTTTTCTACCCAGAACTGCTGTACTTGGAATTCATACTCTTTCTTAAACTAAAGAAATTTTGTGTTTGTGCAAATCTCAGCTCAGAGGAATCTACAGGCTGTTACAGGATTAATGGCAGTCCTGATTTTTTTAGATAATACTTTGCTTAAATACACTATTTGTTAAAATTATAGATAGAGCTTTTAAGCTAATAATGCCTGTGATCTCGTTTAATCATTTTTAATTAGTTTGTATGATGATGATATTTGAAAGACAAGTTTTCCGTAGACTACAAAGCAAGAACTCATAGAGGAGTAGAGCTGCATGTTATTGAAAGTGATTTAATGTATTAATCCTGTCAGTCCTTTTCCTGTTGGTAATATAATGTTCCTATATAAAAGATACTTCATTTAATAATCTCATTTTTTATAATGCAGTATGTTAATATAGTCTGTTTATCTTGCGGGCTCTATTACAGAGTCTGTGCTCTGACAGGAGCCTGTTGCCAACTACCCGCTCCGTAGTTATCGAACAAAGACCTTACGAGAAACTGAGAAACTTGTTAGTGAGCTCTACTGCCCTCTCCTGGAAACAAAACAATTAAAACGTGGGTTCACAGGAAGCCTTACTGATGTAAAGCATTTGAGCTTGCAGAGGGGGTCGTTAGCACCACTGATTCAAACAATTTGTAAAGTATTATACAACAGACTACTTAAAATCTGACAAGATCTCAAGCCATGTTTAAATCTCTCTTTAATATAAGATTTACTTGCTTGCAGAACTGTAGATCACATCTCATTTATTGAGTGGTATAGAAGTGTCTTTCAAAAACGTTTTATACTTGAATGATTTAAAGGATTCTTTCTCACAAGATTGTGTGCATATCATTTTAATTAGCACAGCCAGGAGTTTTGAAATCATAAATAGCGCATCCCTGGTACTGTCAAAGAGAAAGTATGAGGCTTATTTCATAAATGATCAGAAGATCTTGCAATCACTGCAGATTTCTGAAGTATGGCAGATGTGATAATTCTCATCGTTAGAATCACTAATTTGCAAAAGTATTTGGCTTATGCTTTGTGGCCTAGTTATTTGTGTATATGAAAAAGGAAACTGGTAACAAAAGCTTTGTAGAAAGACCTATGCTCCTAAACAAACAGACACTCTTTAGTTAGCACAATGAGTATTGAAGTATTTATTTCTGGCTTCAAATTTTAGAACAATGCTAAAAATAACACACTGAGAACAGTCTGTTTTATTTCCTTACAGTGCCTCTGAAGAGCCTTCAGAATTTTCCTGACTATCTTGTGCATAGTGGATACTGATTTTGCACAGAGATTCTCATTCCCTAATGACAGCCTGTGGTTAAAAGCAAATTTCAGTTCTACTATTAGAAACATGCTTAGGGAAGTGGTCACCTTGAAAAAAAAAAATCAGAAACATCGTCGAAGAAAAAAAACAATCATGCAATTTAGTACTTCTAAAATATTTTTGTTCAATTTTTTTCATTTGTAGGTGCCTTTACCAGAACAAGAAGGACCATCTACTGGTACCATAGGGACGTTCGAACTGATGAGCTCCAAAGATTTAGCACATCAGATGACAATTTATGACTGGGAGCTCTTCAACTGTGTGCATGAGGTAGGAGGACCTATCTATCCAGCAGATTAGAATCTGTTGGAAAACATTTAGTTGTACATTGTCAGCTTGTGTATTTTTTACAAAACTCCCTATAAGCTTGAATCTCAAAAATACTACAATAAAGTCACCTGTAAGTTTTGAAAGTATAAGCCTTTCTTAATTTTACAGACAGAATGCAAAAATAACATTAAACTTCTCATGAACATGTGCTGCTTATTACTTTTGTATGTTTTAAGATAGTAAGCTATTTATACTAGTCTATAGTTACGCTTTTAGTATGCCTCAGCTATTGTCTACTGGATTTGCAACCTGAATCCTTGGCATCTGTACAGCAATAAAAAACTGCAGAGCGAGTTTTAGGCTAGATAGGTACCTGGTCATTCTTAGCCTCTTTCCTCTGTCCAAAAGATCAGAATTCTAAAAATAAATAAATAAATTCCAAACTGTTTTCTCTTTCCTAGCTGGAATTGATCTATCACACTTTTGGAAGGCACAATTTTAAAAAGACCACAGCAAATCTGGACTTGTTTTTAAGAAGATTCAATGAAATTCAGTTCTGGGTGGTCACTGAAATTTGTCTTTGCTCTCAACTCAGCAAGCGTGTTCAGCTGTTAAAGAAGTACATTAAGATAGCAGCCCAGTAAGTATATAATAATTTCTGAGCTGGAAATGAGGTTCACTATAGTCAATTTGTTGTTATTTTTTTTTTATATTTTCAGACAGCCCCGTATAGTAGAGGTTAAAATATTTTTGTTTGGTAATTTTATCCATTTCCTTATAGGGTGGTATAGAACCTTGTTAACACATATTCTTGTTTCGTGTCCTATGCTCCATTGCTCCTTGATGTGTGATCTCTTAGGGCCATGTTCTCACATAAAATTTGTGGGTAAATATGTTGCAGTTCATAAGGAGAATCCTTCATTTACCCTTACATGCATTAGCAAGTACTAATGTGCAAATTAGTAAATAGTAACGAAAGTAGCCTTAATTTTCCTGAAAACACAGGTATTTCTGGTGCTATTCAGGAAAACCATTCTCAGAATTACCCTGAATGGGAAGACCCAAGAGGAGAGTGCAAAGGGATGTAAATGCCAAGGCTCATGTTACCTTCAGTCTGCTTGCGATATTTTTCTACTACTTTTGTTTTAAAATCCAGCAGTGCAAATGTCCTTTTTTTGTAACTAATTGCTGGGTCTGGAGTTGGACAGCAGGCAGTTCTTGGTGTCTTCTATTCTTTTATTCATATTAAAACTTTGTAATTCTTTCGAACCTTCATGCCAAAGGTGTCAGCCTTGACTTCTCATCACTGCAGTCAAGAACCAGGGTGGGACTGGCTTCGGGGTACGCAGGGGCATGCCCTGCCCTGCACAGCTACAGGTTTTACCACTGCTACCCTCTTCCTTCCCTTCCAGTTCTTGGTGGGTTTATTGCGTTCATCGCCGCCGGGACAGTTGGTTTGCCGAGGTGCGCAGTGAGGAGCTGTGAGGCTGAGTGCTTGCCCACAGCTTTGGGCACCGTGACTAGAGGCCTTTAGACAGGCAAAGAAGTTACTCCTTGCAATTAAATCTCGAGCTTTAACTTTTTCGCATTACTAAATGTAGCTGCGTGAAGGAGGAGATCACTTTTACAACTGTGATGCCGCTCTGCTCCTGGTCAGTAGTTCCACTCAGCTGAAAGCCGTGTTCACATCGGGAAGGGCCCTGCTCAGCGAGGAGCCCCCGGATTCCCCCTGGGGACTGCTTTGGGCTCCTCTGGTCAGATCAGGGTTGATGGAAGCGGAAGGTTTTCAAAATCTAGTAGTGGGCATACAGGATCAGGTTTACATTCAGAGCAGAGGACAGAATTTACCTCTTTAGTTTCTAAAAATACCCGTGGTGCATGTTCCATGATGTCAGCGCGCCGAGCGGCCCAGCCAGCGGCCCGGCGGGCTCTGCCCAGGAGAGGGCACTGGCTCCCGCACACAGGCGCCACGGGCCCTTGTCGACACTCGCAGGCATGAAACGGGAAAATGCTGAAATGGGATAAATTAAGACACAATAGTAATTTCCATAAACACTTAAATCAAGCATCCTAGAAATTACAGTTAAATATGTCCTTAACGAACCGCCCTAGCCCGTGGGTTCCTCAGTGTCATGGGTTTAATCCTACGCTATTTACAACAGCCTGACAACCTCCTGTTTACTTCCATGTTTCTGGTATCACTACAATGCTAAAAATAAATAGCTAAAAGCGGTCTGCTCTTCTGAGTCCTCTTTGTCTCCTAAAAGCAGAGAAATCCAAGGCTCAAGATTTTCCTCCGTGCAGACTGTGCGGGCAGGTTTAATTGCGGCTGCTGGCAAGGCGCTGCCAAGTTTTGCCAGGCTGCTGCTGCCCCCGGTGCACTGCTGCCATGGCAACAGGTGCTACAGCAGGCGCTAAAACAAATACAAAGTGCACCGAAGTGAGAGGGGAGAAAAAGCCGAGGAATTGGATCAAAAGATGCGGGCCCAGGCCTTGAAGCAATATCTTTGAGGAAGTTTTGCTTGTGAAGATTCTTGAGACCTAATGAGAACTTTACCCTACCCAGAAGTACCAGACTCATTAGAAAAGTGTTTGAGGAGAACAGTTCAGTGCTGCACCGTTAGTCTGAGGCATGGCTGGTGGTAATGAAATGCCTTGCACGTACCGATTTTCAAAGATAACTGTTACTGAGAACCCTGTTTCAGTTCTGTGACGGGGGGCTCAGACACCGTCACAGAAGGCACATCATTTTGTGTCTGCCACCCCACGCACCCTGTGATGTGTGCTCCCTGTCTGGGCGGGCAAGCGTGAGGCCAAGTGCCTGCTCCAAGTGCTGTGCGTGCGTGCTTTCGGCTTCAGGAGCTGTTGTTGCCTTTGCATCTGCTGGGAAAGGATGTAGAGGTTACCAGGTTCATCTCTTTTCTGCAACTATTGTAAGATTAATCTGTCAAACAAAGGGCAAAAGCAAACTATATTTCTTGCAGTGAGTACTTCCCATAGTAATTGTATGAGATAGGGCTTCTAAGAAGCACTTTCACATATTCTTATGGATATCCACAGACCCAGTTTGTATATATTTCCTCTTTGCAGATATACCCACAGGCTATTTAGAAGCCTTTTTGTGTATCACTATACTTAGACGCTTTGATTCAGTTTTTGAAAATCATTCTATACACATGCATACGTTATAAGCCCGAGGAGCCTGTAAGAAATTTTTTAAGGGTGTGTGTTTACAGGGAAAAGTCAAGATGAATATGCTTGTGTAAATACCGAGAGATTTTAAGCACAGGTGTGTTTGTGTTGGAGACATGAGCATGTGTATACATGTGTGTTCACATTTCATACTAACAGGAAGATTATTGCGATACAGTCTGGTCTGGGAGGTAGAGGGACCTCTGCTCTGAGCACGCTGTGGTGCTTTGGAGGATCCACTTTCTGACATTTTACAGGCAGCATATATGCAGTGAAGGCATGCAGCACCGTTTCTCCTACCTTACAGTGGTCCTCTCTCTGGAACTGAGCTATTTAGTGTAGAGCTTATAGAATTTAGTGTAGAACTTACAGAATGTTCAGTGTAGAATATCATACAACTAAATGGATTTTAACAGTGACTTCCAAAGATTACATTGCTTAACAGAGTATTTGGCAAAACTTTTCCTTTTTAACATGAAAGATTCAAATTACATACTGCAGATTTGCAGCTGCATGCTATGTTTGAGCATTGCTTCTGTGTGGTACTAATTATTTTTGCCATGCCATAATTATTCTCAACGTCACAGGTTGTGGACAGATACCTATTTCGGGATTTAGTTGTGCCTGGGGAAGAAGTTACCAATGACAGCCTACCCTGGCTGCTTTTTATCCTTCTCTCCCCTCAGATCCACTACTGAGGAACTACCTGACTTGCTCTAGTCAGAATAAGTTGAGGTAGCTTTAGCATTTCAACTTATCTTCGCTAAGCATGCTCAGTGTCCCTAATCTGATGTGGGATAACTTGTCTGAGCAGCTCGGCAGTAGATCTGAGGGGACAGCAGTCTTCAACAGACAGATCATCGCATAGCAGAGAGTGTTTTTTCACGCACTCAATTTTGACACAGTGCAGAGACAAGTGAGGCCTGGATCTAAAGGACTCATCTACTCAGTACATTGACTGGTGAAATGGAGGGACAGAAAGAACAGAATAACAATAGGATGATGTGGCAATGATGGGGTCAGAGAGTAGGATGTTATGATTGTACTAATTTCATCTGGAGCTGAGGATATCCTCAGAGGAGCGAAGAGCCTCAGCAATAAATTTAAAAAATCTGAGAATCATAGCTTGAATCTTAGAAAGTTTTCTTGGTAAAAGAAGCAGACTGAGGTTCTCAAATTGAGTGTTGGTAAATAAGTTGTGAAAATTAGCAAATTATTTGCAGGAACGTAGCGAGACACAAATTTATGAGATTCAGGCTTTGTTCTCTCTCTTCACTTCCCATTGAGTCAATGAGCCACCTGATGCAGTCCCAGCTGGGCAGTTGCACAGGCTGCTCCAGTCAGATTGGGTCTGCTCCTGCATATGGTGTATTGGATCTTCCATAATACTCATTTACATGTGTCAGTTTTTCCTGATCGGTAACAAAAGTTCTCCTTTGCTTTAGTAATGAAGTATAACCTAGAGTTCCTAGTGCTTAGGACCTCTTTAACGATGCTGGTGACAAAAGGCAATTCGTTGCTTGAAACATCTTAGCAAGTTCCAGAATCTACAAGTACTAGTTAGAAATCATATACAGAGAGGGAGGTCACACAGAGGCAGCTCTAGACTGCTGGTCTTCTCCCTTTTAAAAGACTCAGCACTCCTGTAAACTGCGATGAAGATTGCGTAGGGACAGCTTCCAGCATTCAGTAGATGTTCAGAAGCTGTCAGCAAGTTCTGCAGCCAATGAGGTTGTAAACCAGTTGCTTCCACTGTTTCTGGTGTTCCCTGGGACTGAATTAAACCTGGTTTCAAGACTGTGTTTCCAGGTGGGGAGGAACTTCAAAGACTCCGTTAACGTCCTTGCAGAAGCTGGCACCCAGTGAAGTGGAAGCAGCAGGTCATTTTAGGAGGGAGGAGAAAGAAGCCTCCAGAGCATGGTGGATTACTCACATGTCAGTGGTGTGCCACACGTGTCCAAATTCAGCCACATCTATGCTAGATGCTTAAGTTCAGCTCTGTTAAGGTTGTCATGGGTACTTCTGCCCTGACTGATACATACAACTTAAAACCTGTCCCTTTGTGTTTCAGCTGTAAAGAATACAAAAATCTGAATTCCTTTTTTGCTATTATTATGGGACTGAGTAATGTTGCTGTAAGCCGTCTCTCATTAACTTGGGAGGTAAGTCATAGCTAAAATCCAATTGCAAGAAGTTTGATTGGGAATTTTGCTTTTATTTAGAAACAAAACACATTACTTGAGCCTTTATTATTGATAAAATTAGCTCTACTGATTCAGCTCCTGAGCAGAAGCCTTTAGCTAAGACTGATAATTTGTATTAGTAAGGCAGTATACCCCTAGATGTGTTGAATACTCACAAGCAGTTAACGAAAGTGACAACAGCTTCTATTGATGAACTAAACTGCCCGACAGGATGAGTGAGTTAGCCAGTTAACCTCTTACATCGGCCCATCCTCTGTTTGACTTTACTGATCATTTAAAGAGATCTCTCTGTAGGTACTTCTCTAAAATTCATCCCCTGTTTGTACATGTTATTTTCTCATCCCCATATGGACTCTGTTACCCTATTAAAATGTGGGTTTGTCCTAACCGATTCTGGTCTTCTCTCTGACATGCATTCCCCTGCTTACTATCAGTTTGATCTTCATTCTCAGAGCTTCCACCTTTTTCTGTGGCTTTGCACTTTTGTGCGTGTGTATGCAGAAAGGGTTCAGCGTCCAGCAGGGTAGGCAGTAAGCGCATGCAACCACTAAGATCATGCGGGTTGTCAAAAGCAGTGCAGGTCTGAATGTGCATGTATATTGCTCATTAGAAATTCAAAATAGTTAGCATGACTGAGGTTATTGAGTGCAACTGAGACCAAAATTTGAGCACGTTTAAAGTGCTCTGAAATAGAAGATTAGAATAACATCTCAGAAGACACCAGCACAATTTTCAAAAGTACATGTTGCAAGTGGTATAAAGATTTGCAGATCAGTTCCTCATCAGTTCCAAAATAGCGACCTTTCCTTTGTGGCTACTGAGAGAAACAGTTGGGAGAGCAGAGGCAATACAGGATTAGTATAAAGAGAGAAGAGGGAATTGAATTTATATACTATGTACAGCAATTTGAAATGGACACAGGGTCTGAGCTGGAGGGGCACAGACCATTTGTAGGTGAGGGATATGAACCTGAGTTCAGGGAAATGTTGTCACACTCTGGTTCTCTAGGGCAGTCAGTTTATAGGAAGAATTTCTGCAGCTTGATTTTTATCAGGATATATATACAGAATGCACTTAAAAACAAGCATATCAAGACCTGATTTTTGCTATATTATCATGCATTTACATTAGTTGCATGCACAGATTAGATATTTGCAGGTGCAAATGTCCAATTATACCACTTATTTCACAAATACCTAATCTGCATGCATATGCAAACTAGGCACACAGTTGTTCACACACATCATTAAAAATTAGGCCCTTGCTGTGGCACAGTGTAAATATCTTGCTAGGGTACACACTTCAAATGTAGAAAATATTGCAAAAAATAATTTCTGCACTATAAAGTCTCAGTTTTTAATGTTACTCACTGCCAGTTGTAGTCTGATTTAATCAGCAAATAGAGAGAAAATTCTTATTAAAGCTAGAAAGCTGACATATTCTGAGTGTGCATAAAACATTACTGTCATCTCTGCAACTCATTTATGACATATAGTCTTTATAGTAAAATTGTTTAATATGTATAGCATATCATAAGGGGGAAAGGAAATATTTAGTAAAGCCTATCTCATCCCAAGCACTGCATGATCAACTGGCCATGATTTATTTGTGGGAGTATTGTGGACTGAAAAACTATTCATTAATTTATACCCCAGAAAGTGATAGAAGCCCGTGGCTGCTAGGCATGTCAAGAATTTGAGCAATAGTTGATGATGGTGCATCAGCATGAACTAAAAAACCTCCTGGTAATGCCCAGGCATGGATATGAATGTTGCAAGGGCGGTTCATCATAGGTATGAATAATTAAGCTAAGCTACCCCTACACAAGCTGTGTGTAAATTATAATTTCAGATCAGCTATAATCAAGGATGTCCCAAAACCATTGGCTTGAACTTTCACTTACATTCTGAATTCAGTGATTCCTATATGAGCCAAAGAAAAATCTGAATCTCATCATCCCAAAGGAGTAAATTCAAGTTGGGGTTTAAATGAGGATCCAGGTTTCATGGCTGGGCCCGTCTCTATTTATAATCTGGTTGCTAGGAGGCATGTTGTATTTTAGATTAGTACATTGTTAGAAATATCTGGCAAAAAGAGCACTTCCCTGACTCGGGGCATTGTAGAAGGAACTAGAATTTACAGTAAAATTGCCATACAAATTGGATTTAATTAAGGTTTGCTATTTTTGTTTTTATTAACAGAAACTTCCAAGCAAGTTCAAGAAGATCTATGCAGAGTTTGAAAGCTTAATGGTGAATAGCAATAGATCCCTTATTCTGTGCACAATCTGAGCTAATTCAGTTTCTGAGTAACTGATTTGAATTCCTTGATTCAGAACATTTTATATGTCCTTGTTTGACTTTAAGAAGTTTATGATCCCATTTTAGAGCTGCTAAAACAAGTATGTATGACTAATAAATTATACTCTTAGGAACCTACTCTGAGAGGACTTATGTACCACTCAAAGTTAATCTGGGAACTCAGAAAAGCTTTATCACATGTTTTCCGATATGGGTACATATGGGAAATTATATTTTCCAACCTGGATTTTTCCAGGCAATACATTTTAGTGTTACAACATATGCAAAACTGGATCTGCAGCTGCAAGGAGGGGGAAAAAATGTGTGGTTCCTTTTATGAACAAATTTTTGTAATCTTATCTTACCTTGCTATTTGGCATGAAATGTATTTGTGTTTAGCAGCTGCGTTGTCATCATGTCAGCTGTATGAGAGAATGATAAAAGGTGTCTTAGTTTGCATATGAGCTTTTAAAACCACAGGAGAAAATAATGATTTTAATAAATGCCATGACATCCAGATGAATGTATATAGTGTCTCAATACATATAATAATACATATTAGTAATTATTTGATTTCTCTTTTTTGTTCCTAAGGATCCATCAAGAAATCATAGGGCCTACAGACTAACTGTAGCTAAATTGGACCCTCCAATAATTCCTTTCATGCCACTACTTATAAAAGGTAAGCAGAATTAATAGCTTGAAAGCTATTTGTCAAATATTTGAAGAATAAGAGTAGCAGCAAGAAAAAGCAAATATCATTCTCAGTGTGAAGTATGCTCTTTTTCCATTACAAAAAGCATGACACAGAGATGAGAACTGCTTTAGTACATTTGAATATAATACCTTAATTTTACTAGTCTCAGAAATTCTGCAAATTAAAAACTAAATGTTTTACTTTCATAGCTGCTTTGATTTTTGCAAGGGATAGGTAGAATTTTCTGCTAGTTTGTATGGCCATGATTCATTAATGGGCTTTTACATGACTTTTGTTTCTATACAGACATGACGTTTACTCATGAGGGAAACAAGACATTCACTGACAACCTAGTAAACTTTGAAAAAATGGTATGTATGATATTTGATATGAAAATTTAAAAAGACCTCCCTTTTCATCTTTATAAGAGCAAAGTTCTCAACAATGACTTCCAGGGCTAGAGAAAATGAAGGCAGGCCTAAGAGCTGGCAAAAATAGTCTGCATTGTGCACAGTGCCTGGGACCTTTGGGTTTCTGGAAAACCTCACAGAGGTGGAGAAGCAACTGCCCACTGAGCCACACACAGCTGAAATGTTTCCTAGGAGAGGCAGCAGCAGTGACAAGAAGCAGAGCTGTTAGAGACAATTTTTAACAGCCAGTTTGGGACCAAGCTGTGATTTTAACTGCTGTTCTTCAGACAGGGCTGAACTGCCTCAGGCTGGGATAGTTCTGCATTGCTCCTCAGAGAATGAAAGAAGCTTTAATATAGAACGTGCACAGCATCTTATTTTCTTTGTTCTTTTAAGAAGTGAAAGAAGACTACTAGTTGTTTTCATATTGGAAAAAAGGATCAATGACAGAAGGTTAGATTATGCTCAGATTTTATTTATTTTTAATCCTGCAGCTAAGGTCTCATAATTTCAAACACTGTTGTCAAAAACTGCAGGCAGGCAACTTCCTGTGGCAGAAATAAAGGATGGAAGCAAGGAGTGGTAACCTGAGATGATTACAAGGAGATTGCTTGTGGAACTAGAAGCCAGATTAGAAAAGCCGAAGCCCTGACAGAATCAAATCTGGCCAGGGACATTAAAAATAACAGAAAAGGATTCTACAGGTGTGTGAAAGAAAAAAGAAAAACGAGAGAATGTGGGGCCTCTCCAGAGCGATACAGGTGACCTGGTTACCAGCAATATGGAGAAGACTGAAGTATTCAATGACTTTTTTGCTTCATTTTTCACTGATTACCACTTCCACCACACCACCCAAGTCACAGAGGGCTTTGACTGGTCTGGGAGAGTGAAGAACCACCCAGCGTAAGAGCAGATCAGATCTGGAAACACCCAGAGAACCCGAAGGTGCACCAGTCCATGGAAACTAATTAGATACCTAATGAGATACACCCACGGGTCCTGAAGGAGCTGGTGGCTGAAGTTGCTAGGCCACTAGCCATCATATTCAAGAAGTTGTAGCAGTCTGGCGAAGTTCCCATACATGGAAATAGGAAAACATAACCCCCATTTTTAAAAAGGGAAGCAAAGAAAACCCAGGGAACTACAGACCAGATCATGGAGCAGATCCTCCTAGTAACAGTACAAAGGCACATGAAAAATAGCGACGTGATCGGTGACAGCCAACATGGCTTCACTAAGGGCAAATTGTGCCCGACTAATTTGGTGGCCTTCTATGACGAAGTTACAGCTCTGGTTGATACGAGAAGAGCAACTAACATCATCTGCCTGGACCTTATGCAAGATGTTTCACACTGTCCCACTTAAGATGGAGAGACATGGATTTGATGGATGGACCACTCGGTGAATAAAGAACTGGCTAGAGGGTCACACTCAAAGAGCTGTGGTCAACGGCTCGATGTCCACATTGAGACAAGTGACAAGCGGTGTTCCTCAGGGGTCTGTTCAACATCTTTGTCAGCGACATGGACAGTGGCATCAAGTGCACCCTCAGCAAGTTTGCCGACAAGGCCAAGCTGTGTGGTGCCGTGGACTCACCTAGGGAAGAGATGCCATCCAGACGGACCTTGACAGGCTTGAGAAATGGGCCAGTGCAAACTGCATGAGCTGCACCAAGTCAAAATGCAAGGTCCTGCACCTGGGCCGGGCCAATCCCATGCACAAATACAAACTGGGCACAGAGTGGGTTGAAAGTAGCCCTGAATGAGAAGCTCAACATGAGCCGGCAGGGTGCTCATGCAGCCCAGAAGGCCAACCGTGTCCTGGGATACATCAAAAGGAGTGTGGCCATCAGATTGAAAGAGGTGATTCTCCTCCTTTACTCTGCTCTTATGAGACCTCACCTCAAATACTGTGTCCAGTTCTCGTGTCTCCGCCATAAGAGGAACGTAGATCTGTTGGAACGAGTTCAGAGGAGGGCCACAAAGGTGATCGAGGGGCTGGAGCACCTCTGCTATGAGGACAGGCTGAGGGAGCTGGGGTTGTTTAGCCTGGAGAAGACTCCAGGGGGACCTTATAACTGCCTTTCAATATCTGAAGGGAACCTACAAGAAGGCAGGAGAGGTACTTCTTACAAAAGCATCCACCAATAGGATAAGGGGAAATGAATTTAAATTGAAGGAGAATAGGTTTAGACTGGATCTTAGGAAGAAGTTCTTCAGTAAGAGGGTGGCAAGACTCTGGAACAGATTGCCCAGAGAGGTTGTGGATGTCCCCTCCCTAGAGATGTTCAAGGCTGGGTTGGATGAGGCCTTGAGCAATCTGGTCTAGTTAAGGGTATCCCTGCCCATGGCAGGGAGGTTGGATTAGATGATCTCTAAGGTCTCTTCCAACCTAAGACATTCTATGATTCATTGAAATCTCAACTGAAACTCAAAGCAATCTCCTCTGTTGCAAAGGCCATGTTCTTAATTAATGTGGTTCATGACACCTACGTCTGAGAACGAGGGTTAGCCAAGCCCAGCTATGACTTAATGTTTCTGCAGTAAAGTTCTAATCAGCAGCCACACTAGAGCGTGTCTGCTCTGGCATCTATATCTGCTTGTACTACAGTACCCAGAACCACTCCATGATTATTTCCACTGCATAATGGAGAAGCTTGTC